CTTCTCCTTGGCCAGCGCCGGCTGGCGGAGGCGGAGGCTATGTACCGGCAGGCATGGGACGGCGCGCGGTCGGTCGGAGGGCCGCAACACGCCACGTCTTGCACGGTCGCCGACGCTTTGGGCTCTTTGTGCGAGGAACAGGGCAAGTACGAGGACGCCGAGGAGATCTACAGGCAGAGCCTCGCGCCAGGCGATCTCCGTCTTGACCGATGGACAAGTTTTGTCTTGAGCGTCAACTTCCACAAGATGGCAGGGTACATCTGAAGCTCGTAGTCTCTTTGTCCAGAATAATATGCATTACTTGCCAGATACCAGTCCTTTTGTTACACTTCACTTCAGGTTCAGTGTCCCCCATTTCGATGTAAAAAAATCCAAATAAGGCAGGTGGGGCAGGAGCGGGAGCGCCAGTATCAGCATAATTAAGCCACTGACCAAAATTGGCTAAAATCAGTTTGCGGACGTTAAACCTGGACTACTCTGTACCACTGTGCGTAAGTCGAACTAGGGCGAAATGGTTGCATCGCTGTTGCTTCTCTCCACTCTGTCAGCTTGCCAGTTTGTCTAAAAGTATTCCGAATTTATTTGGCATAATCTTGTATGTATGACCAAGAGAGCCGCCCTTCGTATATGTGCTCAGACGCGAAAGCCTTGTGAGCGGTAGATGTTGCGCACAGCTCGACGTGGCCGATTCCGCAATGGCATGGCATACTGGCGAAGCCGGCCTGCGAAGCATTGCTGAGTATGAATCAGACTCGTCGCCGGTGACAAAGCTGGCCCGAGAATCATCTATAAGCGGCAGGGCACGTCACGGTCACTGACAGCAATGGCAGCAAAGCCGCTGGCTGACTTGCGAAAGACGCTGCCGACATGTGCCTGAACCTTCCTCCTAGAATACTGATTGAGACAGCTAACTGGCGCATAGCAAGGGTGAAGCTGAAGCAGGAACCTGGCATTGGCGGCGAGTCAGCGTCCGTGAAAGTTCCTGACGCGCGGACCTCGGTAAAATGAGTTGCACTTGAGGATGTGAGGGCAACAGGAAGCCCACACCGGATCCTTCCCCGTTGAATGCTTTTCCGACCCGTCAGCCTCACCAAGGGTTCTTTCAATTACCATCAACTTCAAGCTTTTGTACGGCGGATGCTGCGCAAGACACGGCTGTGTGCAGCAAACACAAGTCGGTGAGGTGCAAGGCTTAAGAAACGACAGCCTCAATCTCGGAAACGTGCAGGCGGTGCAGTTGCGATGCAATCATCCATGGCAAACTCCGGATGCCTACCGTCGGTGAGGACTGGACAATGCAGCATCAGATCTTTTAGAATCTCCTTTTAAACACACGTCCTGGCATGTCGGTACTGGCTCGTGTGTCGGAGGCTTCAACAAACTCACCTGGTGTTCCAATATGCAAAGCAGAGCTCTGGAAATGGATGCCTCAACAATCGCAGCCGTGATTTTCGGTACTGTTTCCCTTGCGATCGCGCTCATCGGACTCTATCTCGCCTTTACACAACTAAAGGTTTCTCTTCTTTGGGTCTCCTTGCGCAACATGGTAAGATCGCCCAAGATCTGGGGGTTTGAATACAGCTGACGATGAATTCATAGACTATACGCCGGCAAGTCGAGAGCTACGATCCGGGTGAAAGTCAGCAGAGCCACGAGCTGGCGACAACGGCCGATCGAGGAAGGGTTTTGTGAGGAACCGTCAGCATGGGCCCAGCTGTCACACCAGCCAATTGCTGAAGTTGAAGGTCTTTCTATACCAGCGATACATGATCCTCGTCGCTAGTCTATGCTACCCACTCGCTTTGGCCCGATGCAAAACATATTGACCTGCGCATCCCCTTTCCTGAGACATGATCGCAGTTTCTCTCGTTGGGTTAGGTGTGGGAGAAACCGGTTATGTCACTTCAGATGATGCTAGACAGAGAAGGATCATTCTCGTGAAGTAATTGCGTATACACTATTATGTATCTATTCTCTTATGAATTCTCCCTAGGTATTCTCAGGTCATCTCAAAGTAATCGGCTGGTCGATCGTGGGGACGTATCGAGCGATCGTGCTATTTTGTCGATATGATTGCCTCCTTCCAGCCAGGTGAAGCATCAGACGACCATCTCGTCCTCGCTGTTCATACTGCGCGCTACTTGCAGACCCGTCCAACTCGGCTTCATCTATCGTGTTTTCATCAGTGCCCTGCGCCGATCGTGCCCGCTTCTTTGGACTTTGGCTGCAGCTGTTCCTCCGCCGCCGCCGCCGCAGAAATAAGGTTTCTGTATTCGTTTGAGAACATAGACTGCACTAGTGGTCTATCGTCACCATCGAGTGTCACAAGTCTCGGTTCAATACTGGTTGAGGATGACAATCTTATTATCATAGAAAGAATGGAGCCCTCGAAAGCCCGTAAAACTCAGGCAAAAGCTGATGGCTGAAAGGAAAATATCGTTGATAATAATCCAAGTACCATTGGCTAAGTAGTCATAGAAATAGCAGAGAAGTATCGAATGTATATACCATTAAGGAATCTCATTCGACTCATTTCGACTGTGAACAAGTCATGATTGTTTTGTAGATTAGCGCACATATTTGTACTGTTTCGAGTGACCATATGTTTCAACAGGGGGAAGCCTAGCTGTGGTCACAGTGAAATTGGAGCGATTTGGCTCCGTAAAGTAGTTCGTTGCAAATTCGCTGCCGCCATCCACCGCCTTCTCCTTTTGGGTAATCGGTCCCACTTTTGGTTCCTGCCGCTTTACAGAATTCTATAAGACGAGGCCACCCGCTCTCCCTTACGACCCGACATTTGCACATTCCCCCATTGTCCTCACCCCCTTTCCCTTTGACCTGGGCCCTTCGCCGGCTGCATTAGTATCCGCCGGCCCATGTACACGGTCGGCTGAGGACGCAATCCGGATCCCCCTTTCTGCGTTCCCGTTGCGATAGTGCGATTGACGAGTCCGCTAATGCTGCCTCCGTCCTGAATTACGCTTCGATCCTTCGATACTTCGACGCCGCTCTCTACCAATTTTTTCTTCTTCGCTGTCGACACTTCACCGAACCTGACGAAAACAATATACAAGAGTTGCCCGAGTATTTGCCTCGCATCGCTGCTGGAACTGGCCATCGCGAAGAATACGACAAAGGATGCATTGACGCGTCAGCTCTACACCGCCACCCGTCGGACACTTTCCCAATGACACGTGTCCAAAGCTGACCTCGGCTGACTCTCATAGCCAAGATGCACGCCCGTCAATTGTCGGTAGGACGTGGGATAGCAAAGGCCGTGGATTGGCTCCATGTTCGGGAAGCTTGGCTGCAATGAATACGGCCTGCATTAGCTGCGTAAGCCGGCAAAGGAGCCGCCGATGAAGGTCCGCTGATCTGCGACCGCGTGGGGAGCGCCTGACCATATCTCGGCGTCGTGATTTGCCATCGCATCGACGCTGCATCAGCTGTGGGAGGCCAATGCAGCCGGTACACTTAGCTCAGCCGGATCGTACGATATTTGCCTTGCAGATGCAAGGTTTTCCGGCACCTTAGCTCGGACTTCGCGACGGACGACGAGCTATGTTGAGACGTGATTGACAAGGCTTTGGCGGTGGCTTTGGAATACTTTTCTCAATTTTCGAGGCACCCGGCGCTTTCTGAAATGGAAAAAAAGAAAAGAAAGGGTTTACGTAGTTGGCTGGCCGGTGCAGCAGAAGGCTGCATGCTGCTCACATTCGCTACGACACCGCGAGCTGGCGGGTGCTAAAGCAGTGGTTGGTTCAGACGTTATGGCTCGGTCCGTGGCCATTTGAGCCGCAGAACGTGAAGCTAAAAAGAGGCCAGTTTCCCCCGTCTCAGGACTGAACTTCTACAGAGCCTTTCTTCGTCTTCGAATCGCACCGCTACCGCCAAGTCATTCAGGCGCTACCGAACACCATGAGCCTCTCCGACTCGAGCACCGAGGAGAAATTTACTCAGAGGTGGTCTGACTTCTTAGCAGACTCTCCAATCTCGATCGCTTCCTCAGCCAATCCTGTTAGTTCCTGTGGTACTTTGTCGGGGCAAGGAGCGGAAGAGCTTGACGCCAACCCTGGTCTGGATCCCGATTCCAAATTTACAACCCCCAGCAGTTCATCTTCGCATGATTCTTCGCATGTTGTGGGAGGCACAGCCACAATTCCTTCTGCTGATAACGGAGACCGCATTCGAGCGCTCATGGCCAAATACGCGCAGGTAATGAGCGGCGACGCTGCTCAGACTCAGGGTGTCAGCTCCGATATTCTGGCCAATCAAGGTAGTCAAGATCTAGATGCTATGCAACCGGCTACGGGTTGGCTAACCCAGCTCTATAGGGGAACACAAGGCGATTCTCCCTGATTCCGACAGGCACGGCAACCGAATCGATGGAAAGCCCACCAAAACGGACGCACCGCAGAGGAACCCCACGTCGCGGGGTTCTCGACGTGAGAAAAAGGGTCGCTCTAGAGCCCGAAGCCGCGTGCAGAAGGGCGCGTCGGTGAGCCGCCGCCAGGCGTATGCCTTTGAGCGTCTGGGAGGGGCACGACAGGCGACGGGTGGCATTATCGAGTATCAAGTTTATTGGGAGCCCACCTGGCTGCCAATCGAGCACCTGCAAGGAAATGACGCCATTCAGGAAGCGAAAGACTTGGTTGTCGCTTTGTTTGGCTCAAATACGTGGCACAAGGAGGCAGGAAAGCTAGGGTTGATCTACGAGCATGGCCGAGAGTAAATGGCAGTAAATAGCACATGGCTGTGTACCTAGTTTGTAATTGACTACCATTTCGCGCTGTACAATTCAGCTCCAAAAAATTCGTCTTAGCCACGATAACATCTTCTTTATCGCATGGGGTCCTTCCCCGGCGTGAACGTGTCCAAGCCTATTGTACAGATTGTACAGAACGTCTCAGCACACCAGGCACACCCCGCTTCGTGCTGTTATAGTTAAACTCATCCCCCTTCCGTTTCCTTCCCGCCTTAGAAAGTTGAGACAATCGCTTGTGTTTAGGTGGTGGTAGGACGGTTGCCTGATCGAAATCGATCACCATCACGCGGCATCGCTCAGCGTTCCAGAGCAGGTTAGGCTCACGTTCGTCTTGGTGGTTCACACCATTCTCATAGATCGTTTGTATGGATCGCTGCACCTCCCATTCCAGATTTGACAGCGTCGTATCCATCGCCACCCCAGCCCATGACATCAACATCATATGGATCACGTACGCGCCGCCAGGCAAGAGGTAGCCAGGACGGAACGAGACCATGCCCAGGTGCACAGGCACCACGTCTCCCTGAAGCTTTTCAAGTCGCTGATAGATACTGCACTCGTGCTCCAGGCGCCTCGGACGTGCGGACACGGTGCCCTTGCCAACAAAAGTGTAGCCGAAGCGTGCCAGTTCTAACTTGAACAGCACGCCACTAGAACCATATTTGCGCCGGCCGATGAGGGCATCACAACTCCCGTACGGGTCCTGACGCAGTTGCTCGCTCATGAGTTTAGTCAACTCCTGAGCGTCGATCGGGTGGCGTGTGTTGCCGCCAACACCGTGATAGAGCACATTAGGGCACCTGCTGTCTAGTTCACGACCCAGCTTGAGGCCAAGAAGGCAGGCTTGTGTGCAGTATTGTTTCGTGGGTGCCGGAGCAGAGCCTCCGGTGCCTTTGTCTTTGCTCTTCCTACTGGAGTCCTTCTCTCCCTTGTTGACGCTGGCTCCTGCTCCGCGCTGGCGTTGATAGCCCTCTGCTCCGCCTTCTTCATCCTCATCGCGCGACTTGAGAGGCGCCGTAGAGCCCTTGCACGATCGCAAAGGATATTTTCGAGCCACCGGGGAGTCATCACAAGCAAAAGATTTATCTGTGCCGCGCGAGGGCATAGATGAAGATGAATCTGTGCCATCTGACTCCTGCGGAGTAACCGGGTCCGTGTAAGCTTCCCTTTTCCATTTTTTCAGAATGCCCTCGGCCTGATTCATTGCCTTCTTGAGCGGACGGCCCGTAAGCGCCTGAGAGCGGAGGCTCAACAGACAAAAGCTGGCAAGCTGAGCAACCGCAGTCTGAGACACTTGTTCGACATGAAGCTCAGCTGTTGGCCGAATCACCATTTTGTCTGGCACGCAAAGGTGCCAGCGCAAAACAAGTGGCTCTGCTCGGTCGTAATAAAGAAGCACCAAAGATTTTCCAGCGGCGACATAGCCATACCCGACCCCATACCACAACATATAATTGAAGACTTGTATCAGTGCCATGGCAATCCGCGCTGCTTCTCGCTCTTTCGTTCGAAGCGTCGAGTCTGTTTTGTACTGGTCGGTCTGCGCCCACTCGTAGACATCCATGAACAGCGTCTCCTTTTCAAGAGCGGCGTCGAGATCCTCCACGGCAAACTTGTGCGCAGCCTTGTAATCATACATGAAAGCTGGGCTCTCGTTTTCGTCTATGCCTGTTCGGATGCCACCTCCGTCAGGTTGCTGCTTTCCCCTCCCCGTTTTTGTTTCAGCTCCAATATCTTCGTTGAGGTCCTTAAAGTTGCGAATGCCATTTATAAACGTGAGATCTGTGGTTTGGTACTTCTGGCGTAGCCCCCTGTCAGCCCAAACGGGCTCCAGAATCATCCACGTAGGGTCTTCGACTGCTGTCTTTTCGAAATGGTCGATAGCATTCTCATAACCGGCTTTTTTCCGCTCGAAATTGATTCCGTTATCTCTTGTTGTGCTCTCTTGTTGAAAGAGTCGCTTCTCGCCGCAGATGCGGATGATATCGTCGAAGTGTTCTCGTCGCTGGCTGTCGGTAAAGGCATGCCAAGGGCGAAGCCACCTGGGATAGTATTTACCGTCGACCGATGTCGCCAAGCCAGTAGAGCTCTCCGACGGGCCAGCGAGCCTGAGTTTTTGGTACAGGTCGAAGTGGCAGTTGTACAAGTACTCCGCTAGAGTCGTCTTTTGGTTTTTGCGCCGCTCTGTTTCCTTTTCGCGTCGCTCTTTCTCCTTTTCGCGTCGCTCTTTCTCCTTTTCGCGTCGCTCGTTCTCCTCACGCGCCTTTGCTTCTTCCTTTTCGCGTCGCTCGTTCTCCTCTCGCGCCCTAGCTTCCTTGAGTTGTTTTTTAAGGTCTTCGATTTCTTTTTCGGCCATCGTTGAGGCAACCGTTTTGCGTTGTTGCACCAGTCTGCTTCTTATAGGCTTCGTCACGTAGCTCGGCTTGTTGCATTAGCTTTTCCAGCTGTTCTTTTTTGACCAATCATGAATTAGGAACACGATTGGCAAGAACTAACGCGGGCTTTTCGCCGTGTCGAAGATTTGTTTGAAAGTATCGCCTCTGTAACCCAGAGGCCTGTCGCGCGTTCCAGCGACAAACGCTTAGTCATGTCATGTGACGGGCGGACAAAAAGTAACGTTCGAGTTTGGCAGACGCCTCGCCTATTAAATAATCCGGGACGGCCTTTGGATGGCCTGCACCTTTGTGGGTATTTGCGTTGACAAACAATCGTTCTCGTCGTAGCCTTGATGCCCAATTTCCCCTCCTCTTGTAGTGCATTTTCCGCAGTATGAACCTAAAGACCACAGTAAGACTGCCCTCCCTCTTACGTTATGCCAAGCCGTATTGATAAATATGCCTCGCGTTCTTCTAGAACCGAACCGAACGAAGGCGCCGAAGCCACGAACGATTAGGATCACATGCTCGAACTCCACCTTGCGTCTTCAACTCAAGTGTGACCTAGCTCCATCGAACAGAACTCTGTATCTCCTGCGACAGATATTCGGAACCTCACACTGACATTGAACCGCCGAACTATACTACTGCGCTCGCACTTCCAGAAGCCTGCATGGTCGTTGGCGCCATGGCCATCACGGAAGCAGATCTGGTGAGATATTGCCTACGCCGTTGAATAGGCCTTAGCTAACAACTGCAGAGGGATAGCTGGCAGGACTCGACGACGATGCAATTCGCGGACGAACATAAGAAGCCGGTGCATTTGTTCGAACAAACAAGTTACGATAGAGACTTCTATTGCAAGGCATGCGAGGACATTCTATTCAAAGATGAGAAGGGCATAACTGTATGGGATACCCACGGTAGTGGACAGATCAAAGTCCCAGCGGGCATACGCGTCTTGGCGAAAGGGGGCTGGGCTATTTGCAAGTGAATAATTTTATCAACTATATAAAACCTGCACGCTTTGAAAACATTCTCTCCAGCCGATGCGCAACGTGACAATGATGCAGGAGCCGGGATAAATGTGGCCACTGACACAAGATGTCTCAATTGCCAGCCCATCTTGTATCTCCTTTGCCCATGTGTGGGTTGTCGTTACGCCGCGTACCACAGTACTGCCCAGAACCGCGCCAATCTGACTTTTAATCGCGCGTTCCAGCGCAAAGGGTTCTGCAAATTCTTAGCGAGGTTTTATTGTGGTTTATGTTAGCGTACCTGAAACGATAGGCTGCGGTAATTGGTGCCCAAATAGTGTCCTAAGCAGCTCAGTGTCGAAGCCAACAGTCATCCTCATGATACCATCATACCGCTCGTCTACTGGCAAAAACGTTGTTATGTCTCGAACGGCACTTGTTGTCGGAATGGCAAATGAAGCGTGGATCGCTTTCTGAGAAACGCCGGTGAAGCACCAGCACCCCTGTCCGGCCAAGGAATATTGCACAGCCAATTGAGTCGAGCCCTTGCCTACTCGCCGGACTTTCTTGTGATCTAGGTTTCTTAGTTGAATTGCAGACATAGGTTTGGGGTCCTTACCGTTAAAAAACTGCTCATACTCGTCGCCTTCGACATTGCACAGTCGTACTACCTTGTCAATGTCATCATTTCCAGCGATAACATGAAGCAGATGTCTAGAGGCCACCTCAGTCCTTCGTATAAGCACATCCAGTTGCTCGAGTTTCAGATCTCGGAGGCCTTTCTGTGTGAGACATAATCCGCAGATTTTGACGGACGTGCAATCCAGTTTTCGAATGGCCTCAGTCTTGGGATCATTTCGTGTCCCGAATACGTAGACAAGAAATCGTCTGAGTCTTACTAGGATATGTGGCTCAAAGGTCGTAAAATCTGGCGACAGTGCGGTCAATGCAGGTCTCAAAAGATCGAGAATTTCCAACTCGCACCGTAGCCTGTTCACAGCTTCGAGTGCACTCCCGACGGGTACATTGCCTGCTCTGAGAAGCACCTCCGCGTCGAAGGAGTTAAACAATGATGAGACTTGCTGCAAATATTCTTGTGCATCCATGTGGCAGGGAGTGTGAATCGATGGAGGCGGGTGGTTTTGGAACGAAGCAGGATGGGTAGCCAAAGGAGGGGCAGGGTAACGCTTTTTGTGCCCGTCCAGGGTTTGGGCTGACAGACGCAGGTGACGTGGCAATATAAGCTCAAGCAGGGGGTAGAGCCAGATTGGTTGTACCTAGAGCCAGAATGTCGTACAATGATCCACTTAGAATATGAACGCAACCAATTAGCAAACGCCCTCACTCGCAGCTTGCATCTGAAGGAAACACATCGGCGATAATAGCAACGTGAAGCCCGGTCCAAATCGGTTGGATGGAGTGCGTAGATGTTGACAATGTGCTGTGGCTGCATCGAGTATGCACATGGCCCTGATGTATCACATTGCTAGAAACAGCGGCCAGCTCTAATGTAGCCAGCGGAGGGCCCAAGGCTCTCCTCAAACATTAGCTAGGCTTGCTGGACTATATAAATGCCAGTTCCAAGATACGAAATTGATATCTGACATTAGTAGAAACACAATACAGTCGCTATTCACTTTCTATTCACTATTTCCTCGTTCGTGTGCGTTTTCGCAAACCATGGCATCCAACGTCCTTGGCGCTCTTTACTCGCAGGTATCCGTCTTGGACACCTTATTCCCTGGTTTTAGCATTGCATTAAGCTATATCCAACCTCTGACGTCGGGCAAATCTCATCTCGGCGCCCGGCTATTCTGCCTGTATGGCCTGGTCACTTTCTTGATAAGGTTTGCGCATGGCCGTGTTGCTAGGATCGTGGAGAAATATTTCAGTTAGTCTACCACGTTGATGTCACAGGGCTACCAAACTCTAACCGTTCTCAGCGTTTTCTATGGAGGTTCTCTATACCGATGATTCGTACGACACCCTGAGGAACTGGGTGCAATCTCAGCCGTTCGCCACAGAAACTCGATCCACGATTGTGACTCTCGAAAAGCGAGCCGAGCCGGGGAACGGAGCGACAAAGAACACATTGCAGTACAGTCCAAAGAACTTAAGCAAGTCTTTTTGGTACAAAAGCAAGCTTCTTTACCTGCGCGCTGTCCCAGAAGAAGGATACTTGCATCGTGAACGGTTTCTGCTCTCCTGCATGGGTATGTCGAACGGAATTCTGAAAGAATTTCTTCACGATTGCCAGGTCACGCTGGAGAAACAAACGGAAAGCAAGACCGCAATTTACATGAACAGCGATGACCGCTGGAATCTCGCTACGCGGCGGGGTCAAAAGCGGATAGATACTGTCATCCTTCCCGAGGACGTGAAAAAGGACTTCTTTGACGATATTGCGGAGTACCTTGACCCAGAGGCCGTAGCTTGGTACGCCGAGCACGACCAGCTCTACCACCGTGGCTACTTGCTCCATGGCGCGCCCGGAACTGGCAAAACAAGTCTCAGCTTGGCGGCTGCTGGACAGTTTGGTCTAGACGTCTACGCGATGAACCTGTCCAAAGTCAACGATGCGAAACTGAGCGACCTAATGCGCAAACTGCCAACACGATGCATCCTCCTCCTAGAGGACATCGATGCAATCGAAAGCGCACAGAGTCGTGAAAACAGCGATGCTAGGTCGAGCACAAGCAGCAGCGTGACACTCTCTGGGCTTCTCAACGCGATTGATGGAGCAGGTTCCGTGGAGGGAAGAGCTTTGATCATGACAACTAACCATGCTGATCGCCTCGACCCGGCTGTAACTCGACCAGGACGTGTGGACAAGAAGGTTGAGTTCGGGTTAGCAAGTCGAGAGATGCTGCTGGAGCTGTTCCGATACGTCTATCTGCCCTTGCCTAGCAAGACCGAGAGAGTAGAAGACAAGGACGAAGGAGTCGTCAACAACCAAGACGCTCAGGATACCCAGAAGCATATCCAGGAGCTGGCAGCGATGTTCGCTGATCGTGTGCCTGCCATGAAATATAGCCCGGCTCAGATCTTATCGTTTCTAATTGCACACAGGCATTGGCCTCGAGACGCCGTGGAAAATGCCATCTCCTGGGTTGAAAAAGAAGGGGGAGGTTTCATTCCTTTGAAGCGCCACACTTCTACGATGAACACGATGGAAGAAGACCTGGACGCAG